TATACACTTCAATATTATAAGCCAAATTCAAAAAATCGCATGCGATAAAAAATATGAAAAAATAAAAAATGTCACAAAATACTACAAAATATATATTAACATCATTATTGGCATCTTTTTATGCGATTTTTTTTAGATTTTATTCTTCTATGCTAAGAGGGCATTCTGAACTGACAAAATTGGTCCAGCTATTCTTGAGATATAAGCATTCTAGCTTACATCCCTTCCTTTGTATATACACATTTTATATATTTCGCTATATATATTAGATACATTTACTATTGGCATCCACGTAACGGTCAGAGTTGACCTGTTGGTCTATTTGTGATTTTGCCGGGATTAAAAATATTCGCGGTTTAATGAAAAAGTTGACTTTTATTAACAAAAATGTCATGGTCTATTTCACCCACTAGATATTACCCAATGACCATCAAAAGTGGAAGGCTTCTGCCCAGCCCTAAGCTCAAGCCCCATGCTAACTTCCGTGTCGATTGGTCTATAATTGCGACCTGTAGAGCAACTGCAAAATCAGGAAATTTTTAGGTTTTTGTCTATTTAAACCCCTAAATATTATGCGATCATCTCCAAAATATAGGGTTCTATTCTGACCCTAGCCCCACCTCCGTTTTAAATTTCGTTAAGATCGGGACATAATTGCGACCTGTAGAGTGATTACAAATTAACATGACGGACAGACGGACGGACGGACATACATAGCTAGATCGACTCACCTCAGCGAGATGGGAAGATCCACATATACTTTCCTATGTGAAAAACCAATATTTCGAGGTGTTACATAATTTTTGGCATAATCAAACTTATAATACCCCCAACACATACAAATTTTGAGATGTGAGGAATTTAACGAGAGTGAGGTGGTTATTTCGCACTCTATGAGAGTTATTATTATTCAAAATGTAGACCTGTTTTTCTGAAGGTACCAGAATTAGTAGTCCGATAAATCCCATCTACACGTCAGGTCTTACGTTAACAGAAATATTGCGAAGTGTCGAGTTTAAAAGAAATTGGATGGTAATTACGCGTTTTATGAGCTTCATGGCTATTCAAAATTGTTACCTATTGTGGGGGAGGTACCAGAAGTAATGGTTCGTTATATCGGTTCTTTATATCAGATATTGTGCTTGTGGAAGTATTAAGATGTACGAATTTAAAAGGCCATCGGCCTCATATTTCATATATTATAATTGATATAAGTATTCAAAATTTTGAGCCGTTGTGGGAGAGGCACCAGCAAGAGTGGTCCAAGCTATTCCATCTAGATACCAGACCAAGGGTTGAAAAAAAAAAAATGGGATATGCGAAATTTTAAGACAATTGAACTTTTATTTCACATTTTATAAGCGTTGAGATTATTCAAAATTTTGGCCTTTGTGAGGGAGGTACTAGAAGGAGTCGGCTTATATTGTCCATTTTCGCACCCAATCTAGCACAGACAGAAATATTAAGAATTGCAAAGTTTGAACAAACTCATTTCTTGTTCTGTGAGGTAAATTATTTTCTGTCAACACTTTGACCTTTTGTGGAGGAGGTACTGATATTGCCTACCTCAGAACCCGATCTAAGCTTGACAATAATATTACGATGTTCCAACTTTGGACAAAATCAAATACTGCCTTCGGGAGTTATCGTGTTCACCAGCCAGAAAAAACAGATGGACATCCCTAGATCGACTCCAAACGTTCTGAAACGGATTTAGTATAAAGGAACCTAGGGTATAAAACCATTATTTCGATGAGGCACGTTTTGATCGTATCAAATGATATGCACCCTCTGTAGCCATATGGCTGAAAATATAATTTACACCCCTTCCGTTACTCATAAGAAATGAATTGATCTATTTTCCTTTTGATTAATAAAAAATGTAGTTGGTCGTTATTATGTACTCTGATGTCACTACTATATGCACGTCCTGCATTATGGGCATGCATTTCTGCGTACCACCAATTTACATATCGCTAATTAACTGAAAAAGTGTCATAACTCAAAATGTTGATATTGCAAAAACTACATTCTAATATTTTCATTGAAAAATATAATCTTTTAGCTAAAAACAAGTAAAAAAACATTAAGTTCGGCCGGGCCAAACTTTTAATACCCTCCACCTTAGGGTAAAGGAAACGTTAAAGCCTATATACCAATTTTTAGACATATTTATGGGAAAATGTGCCAAAAGTCATCAAAATACTGAATATCGGGAAATTCGGCTATATGGGGCTACACAAAAACGTGGACCTATACATACAGTGTTTCGCCAAAGGAGACAGAACCCAGTATGACCTACAAATACCAATTTTCAGACAAATCCGTGAAAAAATGTGGCAAAAATAATCAAAATACCGAATATCGGGAGGTACCTTTATATGGGGACGATACCAAAACATGGACCTATAATTACTATGATTCGCCATACAAACTGGGACTCATTATGACCTACAACTACCAATTTTCAGAGAAAACCGTGAAAACATGTGTCAAAAATCATCAAAATACCGAATATCGGGAGGTACCGTTATATGGGGACTATACGAAAACGTGGACCTATACATACAATGTTTCGCCACACGAAGTAGGACCCATTATGATCTACAAATACCAATTTTTGGACAAATCAGTGAAAAAATGTGGCAATAACCATTAGAATACCGAATATCGGGAGGTACCGTTATGTGGGGGCTATACCCAATCGTGGACCTATACATACAATGTTTCGCCACACGAAGTAGGACCCGTTATGGCTTACAAATACCAATTTTCTGACATATCCGTGAAAAATTGTGGCATAAATCATCAAAATACCGAATATCGGGAGGTACCGTTATATGGGGACTATACCAAAACGTGGACCGAAATATTTTCAATACCGACCATCCTAGACACAATACAAATTGCTTTGCTAAATTTTGGCGCTCTACGTCAAATAATGTGGGCTGTATCGTGATTTCAACAGACAGACAGACGAACATCGTTAAATCGACTTAGAATTTTATGCTGATTATGAATATATATACTTTATTGGGTCTACGGCGAATATTTAAGGATGTTACAAACGGAATGACAAAGTGAATGTACCCTCATTTCCAAGGTGGATGGTATAAAAATGTGATAGACTTTTAATTTTCATACCTCAAATAAATGATCGCTCAATCGAAGATTTGTCAAGATATAAACAACAACTTTACTAAAAGGTAGTATTTAAAGTTATGAACCTGAAGGGCTGTTTCAAGTCTTATGTCTATATCAACAACTTGTCGTGTTTTATTATTATACCCTCCACCATTAATATACCCTCCATATTAAGTTTGTCATTCCGTTTGTAACACCTCGAAATATACATCAGCATAAAATTCTATGTCGATTTCGCAATGTCCGTCTGTCCGTCTGTGGAAATCACTATAGCTTCCGAACGAAATGAAGTAGATTGATAACATTTTACTCAAATGCGTAGTATGTCTGCAGGACTTTTGGTATTGAAAATGGGTTATGTAGGTTCACATCCCATATAACGGTACATCCTTTTATTCAGTATTTTGGTGATTTAAGCGACAGTATTTACCGGAAATGTATCAAATTTGGTATTTGAAGTTCGTAATTGGTACTACAGCCTATGACAGAAAATTGTCTGTGCACGTCCACGTCATCGTATAGCCCCCATATTACGGTACCCTCCGATATTCGGTACTTCGATGATTTTAGCGACATTATTCACCGGAATTGTTTTACATTTTATATTTGAAGTTCGTATTGGATACTACAGAAAATTATCTGTGCAGGTCCACGTAAGCGCAATATAACGCTACCTCCCTATATGCGGTATTTTGCTGATTTGAGCTACATTGTTCGCCGAATTTTTGAATTCAAGTTTCACATTTGAGTATTGTAGAGGTTTATGACAAACGTTGCTTATGCGGGTCCACGTCGCCGTATTGTCCCTAATATAACGGCTATATTCGCTATTTTTAAGGCTTTTTAACGGATTTTATTTTTTTCTTTTTGGAAAATTGCCAAAATCGTTTAATCGTAATCGTATTCAAAGATCGACCCGGCCGAACTAACAGCTTTTTTACTTGTTATTTTTTTTTTTTTTTTTTTTTGCCGACACCGATTCTCGAACACATAACCTTTGGTTTTCTTAGTGAACGCGCACATGTTGTGAGGCAGTTACTCATTTCTGTGTAAAGAAGATAATATCTCTCTTTTTCGAATACTTTTTTAAGGAATAAGCCATTACTACCATACTACTGGTAATACCAAATATAGTTTATTCACATTACCTTGTAATGGTATATTCGGGTAATAAGGCTCCTGAATTCATACTTATGCCACTCTTAAAAAATAAAATATTGATAATTTAATGAAATATAAGAAGACGATGCAACTACTGTGCATTCGGAACGCACTTCGCTTTATACAACTCTTACATACATACAAACATCCATAAATATTTACATATTTTATATTATAGATATAATTTAGATTCTTTTTTTTTTTTTTTTTTTTTTTTGTTTTGAAAGAAACAGTAATTTTTTCTTGACATGCAATCATGCCCAGGAGGAAGCAAGCAATTTTTATTCATCCTTTACTGGGTGATTTTCGTTTTTGGGGCGTGAAGTGAGGAGAACAGTTGTAAATTTAAACAGCATTTAGTTAGTGACTGTGAAAATTGATATACCGCACCTTAAGTAAATGTGCTATCCAGTGAATACTTGCCAATGTTAAATTAGTCCCGAACATGCAAACTCAAATTCTTTAAACATAAACATTCAAGCACAATAGTTTAAAAGGAAGTGCCCAATTTCATAGTTAGTCGAAGAAGAAAGAAGAAAACGCACCAAAAAAACGCTAACACGTCATGCAACCATTTAGTGTTCACAAATATCCTAGGAATTTTTCCACTTAAATTTACAGCAAATAAACTTGTAAAATTTAAATTCAATTTCAGTTTCACATTCATAGCCTCCTCCACATTTTGTCATTTGCAGGTACTGAGCGAAGAGACCTCAGGTGGCCGCCTCAAGTTTAAGACCATCAAATCCGAAGAAACCAAATCAATTCTACTTATTGATGATGCCAATCTCTCTGACTCTGGAAAATATTCATGTTATCCATCAAACACAGAAATTGCCAGTATACGCGTCCATGTCCTCCAAGGTAAGTGGCAAGTGCGAAGGCAGCGATTTCCTGCATTCGCCTTCGCGATAGAAAAATAATGTGTAAGTGAAGGAAAATAAATGAAGACAAAACCAAAACCACCACCGCTGATGGGGAAGACGCAAAAATGATAGGATGTAATAAATTATGTCGTCGCAATAAAATATTATATGCTTGCACTATAAATATAGTTTTTTTTTTAAATATATTCTCAAATAAGAAACAGAGCAGGGAGATGGGGTGGGGAATACAAAATTATAGTCACTTTAGTAGTTCCAGCACATTTTATGAGAGTTATGATTACACCGTACAACAAAACTAATAATTCCAAAATTACAGGAAGATGCAGTAGATAATAACAAGTTAAAAAGCAGTAAGTTCGGCCGGGCCGAACTTTTAATACCTTCCACCATTTGCAACGAATTTGGAAATTTTTAAAAAATAAAATCCTTAAAAAATTCTGTTAAAATTTTAAAAATACCGTATATAGCCGTTATATTGGGGTCTATACGACTTGGACATACATAGGCATTGTTTGTCATAAGCCATTACCATATTCAAATTCGAAACTTGAAATAATCAGTGAATAATGTAGCTAAAATCATCAAAATATCGTATATAAGGAGGTGCCGTTATATCGGAGCTGTGCGAAGACCTGGACCAGCATAGACAATTTTCTGTAACAGGCTGTAGCATCCATTACGGACTTCAAATACCACATCTCAAACAATTTCGGTGGGTATTGTACCTAAAATCGTCAAAATACCGAATATAGGGAGGTACTGATATATGGGGCCTATACGAAGACCTGGACCCGCACAGACAATTTTCTGTCACAGACTGTAGTTCCCATTACGAACTTCAAATACCAAATTTGAAACAATTCCCGTGAATAATGTCGCTAAAATCATCAAAATACCGAATATAGGGAGGTACCGCTATATGGGGGCTATACGAAGACGTGGACCTGCACAGACAATTTTCCGTCTTAGGGTGTAGTATCCATTTTGAACTTCAAATGCCAAATTTGAAACAATTCCCGTGAATAATGTCGCTAAAATCATCAAAATACCGAATATAGGGAGGTACCGTTATATGGGGGCTATATGAAAACGTGGACCTACATGGCCCATTTACGAACTTAACCTGCCTACTGGAAAAATAAACATGTGTGCAAAATTTTAGCCATCTATCTCAATTCATTCGAAAGATAGCGTGATTACAACAGACGGACAGACAGACAGACAGACAGACAGACAGACAGACAGACAGACAGACAGACAGACATTGCTAAATCGACTTGGAATTTTACGCTGATCAAGAATATATATACTTCGTTGGGTCTGATATGAGTATTTCGAGGAGTTACAAACGGAATGACAAAGTTAATATACCCTCCATAGTATGGTGGAGGGTATAAAAGTAGAGCTAAAAATAAAAGAAACGTGTTTTGGAATCTGGGACTATCTAGCTATGTATGTCCGTCTGTCCATTTTAATTTGTAATCACGCTACATGTCACAATGATGGCCCCATCATCAAGAAATTAAGCATCAAAGTGGGGTTAAGGTCAGATTATTGCCTATTGTTTTTGGAGATGATCCCCAAATATTTAAGGTTTGCAATAGACCAAAAGCAGAAAAATGTCCCGATTTTCCGTTTCTCTAAAGATCGCAAAAAATGTACCAATTTACGCGGAATTTGTCATGAGACTAAAGTTTATAGCTGGCCAGAGGCCTACCATCATCGAACAATATTTGGTGAGTAAAGTTATGGCCTAAATTACTTTTATATTAAAACAAGTAAGCAAAGTCTATAGTCGTGCGATGCCGACTATGTTATATCCTACAACACTATAATATGTAAGAAGCCCCTTATGTACAAATCCAAATTGGAAGATATTTCTTTTGAAATTAGGACATTTTTGAAATTAGGATTTTGAATGTCCCTAGTCATTTGCCCAATATTTATGCACTCCGGCGTGCTGTTAGTTGTTGTAGTCGATATATAATCCAATAGTCATCCAAAATGCTGGAATTCTTCCCTTTTCACTCTTTCCTCAGGCGTGTCGATTAGCTGCAATTGTGTGATCAGGAAATTGTTTCTGTTGTTTGCGATCATCTCCTAAAGCAAGAGGCCCCTCTGTATCTCCAAATTTAGATTCATCTATATGAATTGCTTGTCTACGATATTTGGTTATATTCGTCAACGAAATTAGCATAAAAAAGCCCGAAGTTCGCCTTTGGTGTATTTCGGATATCGCCTGTAAGTAATGCAGGTATTTTTTCGTGATCCATTGTTCCCTCTGTGCTAAACTCTAACTCTATGCGAGATTTCGTGTCCTTTGGTTTCTATTTGTGACCTTTATAACGGCTGCAAAATCTGGAAAATTTTTAGTTGTTGGTCCATTTCAAACCTCTTAATATATTACGGACATCTTTGAAGAGAATACGCCTAGCTCTTCTTAGCCCTACCCTTTTGAAAATTTTCGTGAGGATCGAATGATAATTGCAATCTGTATATAAATAATAACCCCAACCTGTGTTGTAAAGTGCAAAAATATTACAAAATATAACTTCAATATTATAAGTCAAATTGAAAAAATCGCATGCGATAAAATATATGAAAATATAAAAAAATTTCACAAAATACTACAAAATCTAAATTAACATCATCATTGGCATATTTTCTTACGATTTTTTATATTTTATACTTGTGTCAAGAGGGCATTCTTAATTGACAAAATTTGTCAAAATCGGTCTAGCCAATCTTGAGATATAAGCATTTTAACTAACATCCCCTTCCTTTGTATATACACATTGCATATATTTCGCTATATATAACCGATATATTTACTATCGACATTTACGTAACGGTCAGAATTGACCTGTTCGTCTATTTGTGATTTCACAGGGATTAAAAATATTCGCGGTTTAATGGAAAATTTGACTTTTATTTAACACAAATGTTGTGCCCTATTTCACCCACTAATTACTACCCGATGACCATCGAAATTGGAAGGCTTCTGCCCAGCAAAATCAGGAAATTTTTCAGTTTTTGGTCGATTTCAACCCCTAAATATTATGCGATAATCTCCAAAAGAAATAGGGTTCTATTTCGAGGTGTTACATAATTTTAGGCCCAATCAAACTTATAATACCCCCAACACATAGTGTTGTAGGGTATAAATACTAAACCGCTAATAGTTTTAATCCCAGCAAAATCCAAATACATTAAAAGGTAACTTCTCACCGTAAGGGTGATGCTGATAGCCTTATCGGATATCGGATATATGTAAAATAGGTGCAATCTGTAGTAAAAGAATAGATTTTAGTTATTCCGCTTATAAGTCAAGAACCAATAGACTGATTTTGACAATTCTCATCAATTCGGAATGGTCTCTTGCCAAGAAAAAGATAAAAGCATAAAAAGAAAATAGCATAAAAATTGTACCAATAACAATTAAAAAGCAGTAAGTTCGTCCGGGTCGAACTTTGAATACCCTCCACCATTTGGAACGAATTAGAAAATTTAAAAAAAATAAAATCCATTAAAAATTACTTTAAAATCTTTAATATATCTAATATCGGAAGGTGCCGATATATGGGGGGATATACGATATTGTGGACCTATATCGACAATTACCTTTCAGGGGTTAAAGTACCCACAAGGAACTCCTTGTGTGGATTATCAGACAGTTCCGTTGAAAAATGTGGCTAAAATCATCAAAATACCGAATATCGAGGGTACCGTTATATGGGAGCTATACGATATCGTGGACCTATATATATAATTCTCTTGTGTAGAATTTCAGACAATTCCGTTGAAAAATGTGGGTAAAATCATCAAAATACCGAATATTGGGGGGCACCGTTAAATGGGGGATATACGATATCGTTAACATACATAGAGAATTCTCTTTCAAGGGATAAAGTACCCACAAGGAACTTCTTGTGTGGATTATCAAACAATTCCGTTGAAAAATGTGGCTAAAATAATCAAAATACCGAATATCAGGGGGTATCGTTATATGGGGGCTATACGATATCGTGGACCTATATAGAAAATTATCTTCCAAGGGATAAAGTACCCACTCCTTGCGTGGATTATCAGATAATTCCGTTGAAAAATGTGGCTAAGATCATCAAAATACCGAATATCGGAGGGTACCGTTATATGGGAGCTATACGATATCGTGGACCTATATAGATAATTCTCTTCCGAGGTATAAAGTACCCACTAGGGACTCCTTGTGTGGGATTTCGGAAAATTCCATTGAAAAATGTGGCTAACATCATCAAAATACCGAATATCGGGGGATACCGTTATATGGGGGGCTATACAATATCGTGGACCGAACTTGACCTGCCTGCAGACGAAAGAGGGTACCCACTAGGGTACAAAATTTTAGCTTCATATCTTAATTCGTTTAGACTTTAGCGTGATTACAACAGACGGACGGACAAGGATAAATCGTCTTAGCATTTTACGCTGATCAAGAATATATATACTTTATTCGGTCTAAAATGATTATTTCGATGAGTTACAAACGGAATGACGAAGTTAATATACCCTCCATACTATGTATGGTGGAGGGTATAAAAAAGTGAATATATTTTGTTATATATTTTTCTATATTTTTTATCGCATGCGATTTTTTTAATTTTTTTTTCTACCCAAAATTTGATACACCAAAACGTGCCTCATCAAAACAACGTTTCAGGACATTTGGAGTCGATGGTATATCGCAATATTATTGTCAACCTTGAGTTCGCAGATGTGTAATATCGGTCCCCTCCTACAAAAGGTCGAAATTTCCAAAAAAAAAAATATTTTTTCTGCACAGATAGAGAAAGGATAATTCGATTTTGCTCCAACTTTGCAAATTCTAATATTTGTATCAGTACTAGGTCAGGTGCGAAAATGGGAAATGTCGGCTCACTTCATCAAGTACCTTCACCACAAAGGGTCAAAATTTTAAATAATTTTAACTTTTATAAC